GAACTCTCATAGATGCTGGCAGGAGTGCAGCGGAATCTGAGAACTTTGAGTAACTGTTTTGTAGTGCCCTGCACCATGTGTCCCACTAAAAGCACAGCAACTCCACTTCCAGGAATGCAGACAGAAGTGTGCAGGTCAACAATGAAAGAATGTCCGCAGTGGCTCTAGGGCAGCTCCCATTTACTGGAGATTTGGAACAGGCGAGATGATTCTATGGTGACAAAACCAAGAAATGCAAGTACTACTGTGGGAAGTCTAGACAATGACCAGGAGACCCGGAGGAGGTGTCTCATGCACAGAAATGTTTCCTAGCATAACCTCCCATGAATGTTGAGGCGAGTGTGTGCCCGTGTGCCTGTGTGTGTCAATTCACAGAGCTATGCACTCCGTGTTCATACAGATTTTGTATTTAAATGGTATCTCATTGTGAAAATAAGAAACAAAGTGCCTCCGCCATGAATGCAGTTCTACGTCCACTCTGCAGCCTGGACTCTGGCAGTACACCCTCCGTCTTCAGAAACAGACGCAATTCCTGTCCTGCTGGGTGGTTCCTATCCATCTAACCCAGCCTCTGATAACAAGTCCCAGTTCCATCCTTCCCTAGAGGCTAAATGCAAAGGAGTTGGGACACTGGAATCCATGCTCCTAGGTCCCAGGTACAGTTATCCAACTGCAAGGCCAGGATGGGTAAAGAGAGAGTAGTCAGAAGTGATTGAGTTCTACTCCACAGCGCACTGCTTTAAACAGACCTTGGCTAGGTGCACAGAGCACAGGACTTTGGTGAAAGCAGAACCAAGGCCCCTGCCCCAGCACCCCACACATGCCCTTCGAGTTGAAGAAGTAACCGGAAATCTCACAACTGTTCCCTCCCTGACGGGCTTGTCTTTCAAGACTTCAGGATTCACAGGTAAATGGAAGCAACCTACAGAGAGATTGCACCAAGCGCCTCAAAAAGAAGCTTTGCGCCCAAGTCCTTTGAAGTTGTGGCTCAGTGCCAGCACATCTGACTGAGCCTAATGTCATAAAAATCCACAAGCCATTAACTCCAGCCATACTAAATACCTAAAAGTCAATCCGAAGGCCCCGTTCTTCTCCTCAAGCCCCAGGCCTGCACTGGAAGTAACCAAGAGAACCCTGGCTGCTCCCCCAAGGTCCATGACTTGCTACCTGATCCCTCTATAAAGCGTGGCTGTGTCCAGCTGGTCTCTGGACGTTAGACAGTGGTCAATAAGTCTGAAGGCTCCCTGGACATAGGGCTCTGGCAGGAGCAGACCCAGCTCTCTGAAGTCACACCATGCCGGACCCGCAGCTTTAAGGGAAAACCACCTGACCTAGGGGCATCTTTAATCCACTAAAGGGCTTTTCCCATCGTCTGGCTCTCCTGTCTGCTTGGTGCTCCAGAGAACAGGATGCTGTCTTCCCGTGAACGCCCCTGATAAGCCATCAGCAAGACAGCAAGGCTGGAAGGTAGAACTCCCCTCCTCCTTTCATGGGTGTATTCTCATGGAGTCAGGTCGTCATGCCGGCAGTGGGGCCCTGCCACGTGCTTCTGTGTGCACTTCTGCCGCCAGCTCTTCCTTCTTGGTGTTTCTCACCCTACTTACGAAAACTGAAAAACAGGCTCCTCCACCTCCTTCTCAGTCTCCGTTCCGCTCTGAGCATTTGAAATTGACATTTCTACAGCAGGGCCAGTTCAGCCCTGCACAGTGACGTCTGCCGTGACACCAGCCACTGCCTTTCTGCGGTCGGAGCCTTTGGTGTGTTCTTCTCATAGATGAGTGAGGAGAGAGCAACCAGCACCTGCGGGATCTCCAGACTCTGTGTAAATGTGTTCTCCAATCCAGTTTGGTCCCAGAACACAGTCTTTTAATATTGATTCTTAGCATCTATTGGATCCTGATTTTGACTCTGTAGATAATCAATTTTTCTAAATGCCCTTGTCTTCTGAAAGTGTTGTCCATTCACTAATTGTTGGGTGCAAGGTTCTGAAGCAATATAGTAAAACCTTTAAGACAGGGACTCTGAATCTTAGCTTCCACAGTGGGCAGCTGTGTGGTCTTGGTTGAGTTATTTAACTTTTCTGTGCTAAGGAAGTGTTAATTTTTAACACTTTTAACACTAGATTATGTTTGATGCTGCACAAGGGTTCACTATTATAGTACAAATAAATGGAATCTTTTACTGAATCACTCAAGGGTCCTCTATCCTTATTAAGAATTTTTTTTTCTGTTTGATTCATCAGCTATTGAAAAGGAGGTCATTTCTTCTGTTATCTTGATCTTGCTTTTCCATCACAGAAAACCCCAAGGGTTTAGTGACAAGTGGTTGGTTTGGGAGACATTGCACCAGATTATGAAGGAGAGAATAGGGACAAGGGGGGGACAGCCAGCAGATTTGTGCTAAATAATGAACGTGTGTGTATAAATATTTCCACGCGGGGCCGTCCCACTGGAGGCTGAGTGCTGCTCCCCAGAGGTGCCGTGTCCTAACCCTGAGACCTTGTGCACATCCTTAGGGGAGAGGGGCTCTTTCCAGCTGCGGAATGTGAGGGGTGCAGAGTTCCTGGGTTGCCCAGAGGGCTTCCTGAGTTCTTTCTTTCAAGAGGGACACAGAGACTGCAGTGACTCGGCCACACCCCAGGAATGTCAGCAGCCAGCACCTGACTGGCACCTCAATTTCTGCCCTCAAAATGGCTTCTGACCTCTGGCCAAAGCTGTCAGGCACCATATGTGTGCTGTGTGAAGCCACCGCACTACTGGTAATAGGCTACCTGCCGCAGCCCCAGGGAACTAACACAGACCCAGGTGCACTCAGGCTGGAGCCTGAGCCCACCAGCCTCCTCTTCCCCCCGGTCAGGCCAGCGCCTGGGTCAACCCGTCTTCTGCGTGGCCAGTGGGCCCCCTCCAATGCAGAGCAGCCTGAGCTGGACCAGCCAGGTGGGGACTCTGTCCAAGATGTGTCCAGGGAGCCCAAGCAGGAGATGTTTGCTTCCAGTGAAAATACTTTCAGACTCACCTCACTGCCCAGATCCGTGCTTCAGCATTATGTTAGCTACACACAGGCCCTTGGTTTGTTCATCTCCTTCGCAGACCAGTTCTCACGTGTTGGGATGAGGTCGGTCCTTATTCACAAGTGTGCCATGAGCTTGCAATGCTGCTTCGCTTTTCTCTCTATTCCCGGACGCAGCTGCCCTAGAGTGGATGTATCTGGAGTGTCGACTTTCATTCCTGCATATTCAAATGCTCTGGGTCCCTGCAATCCATGTGTGGCATCTCCCGCAAACAGCATTTCCTTAGGTTTTCTTTATCACCCAACTAAGAACCTCTTCTCTCGTCATCTTCATTAGTTCATATTCATTACCTATAACTACACTTCCTGCTATTTTATCATTTTCTACTCTTTACCACAACTTATCTTCATTTTTATCCCTTCTCTTTTCTCTCCTCCACTAGGTCTACCTAGGTTCCCTCTTCTTTGGTATAGAATTAGATAAATAAATGTATGACTTACATTTCAATTAGTATCTCCATAATCACCACCCTCTTTTGTTAAAAAATGTTCAGAATGCTCAAATTATACTCATGCTTTCTACCATTTTTGTGATTTTCATCTAATACTTTATCTTTTTGGGTTTTTTGTTTTTTGGTTTTTGTTTTGTTTTGTTTTGTTTTTTTGGTATGGGGTATCGAGCTCAGGACCTTGCTCTTGCAAGGCAAGCAGCAGAACCACTGAGCTAAATCCCTGGCCCTACTTTATTTTACTTTATTCTGAAAATCCACAATTGGTGTGATTTCTTAAAATTCTCATCAATTTATTCTGACTTACAAAATTGTGCACCCACTTAGTTGCTATTTACTAATCCTTGCATCTCATCTCCTCCTTCTGGGGGTTGATATTTTCTTCCTCAAATATAGTAATTCTTACTGTGAGAGTTCCTGGGGTCCCTTTTCTCAGTCTTTGAAAGTGCACTTGTTTGGTTATCATTCTTAGACACTATTGAATAGCTTCAGAATTCTAAATTTTTGCTTTCCTTCAAGTATTTTAAGAAAGCTGTCATCTGACTATGAGATGGAATGAGAATTAGTCTCCAGGACCCAGGAAATGGAATATGAAGTCAGCCTCATCTGTGCCTGAGGAGCCTAGACTATTGCTGTTTTTATTTATTTGTTAAAGTCTTTTTCTTTGAAATTTCAGTGCTTCATGATGTTGTCTGAGGGTAGATTCAGTGTTGAGGTTCTGAGCCGTGTTATAGCATAGAAAACGGTCAGTTGTCTTGCGGGGAAAGATCAGTTCTTACCTTTGTTCCATTCACTGCACTCTCTCCTTTGGGAAACCTTCCCAGAAAGCCTTCTCTAGATCTCTCTTTCTCTCCCTTTTCCTCTTCCTCTCCTTCCCCTATATTCTAGGTAATTCTCAGGCATATCTTCTACTACTAATTTTCTCGTTGACTTAATTTCATCTCCTTAATTTGTGCAAGGACACACTAGCATGTTGTACCCTATCAAAGGAGTTCACTTGTAGCTCAGCCAAAACCAGCAGCTGGCCCCCAACCAAGCCCAGACCCGTTGCTTCCAGACTATGGTGGCCCACAAGGCTGCCTCCAGACTTCAGGATCAGGTGATCTGTGCTTCTCAGTCCTTCCTGTCTTTCTGGCTATGGAAGCAATTCACCACATGGTGAAGGGGTGAGCGTGGGATGGCTCTGAACCAGCTTTCCTGTGGAATGCTGTCATCTTGCACAATAAGCTACTTGTGTGATTTTTATATACATGATCTATGTAAGTGAAGTTGAAATTGAAATTTGACTGATGGAACTTGGCAAGTGTGAAGCAGGAAAGGACAAAATCCTAGCTCAATATTCCACACTTCCAGAATCTCACCTCAAAGAAGAAACCAAGTTTGCCTTTCCCACTTCTGTAGTTTATTATTCCTTGTGGAAAAAGGCAACATTTTATAAGCTTTGCAAGTCACTAAAATTGTCACGACAGCTCTGCAGTGCCGAAGTCCAAGTTCCAGAGAAACAGAGCTCAAGGCAAAGATGAGACGGTAGCCGCTCCCTGAGACAGCAGTACCAGGAGGCAGGGTGGTGAGGGAGGATGAAGGCGACAGACACAAGGACCCCCATGGCCAAACTGGCTATGGCTCAGTCTCACTGGACATCTCCAGAGAGGCTGTGAAGAGCTGCTGTTACCGCTCCAGCCATCTGAGAAAAGGAAGTGACAAGATGTTATCGTAGGTCCTGGAACTGGTGGGTCTCCAGCCATCCAGGCATGTCTATTGGCACCATAGCCAGTGGTATTGCGGATGGTATTAGGCGCGTCCCTTAATTCCTGGAACAGCACTAGTGAAAACTTTGGGCTTTCCTGAATAATAACAATGGCCTTTTTTTCCAATGACACAATTTTTGGTGGCCCCTAGATGTCATCAGGAGAGGGAATGTTTGTCAGAATGATGAAGTCTTGATCGTAATTTGCAATGTTCACCCCACACCCAGCCTTCTGGGAGGGGAGAAGGGCTGGAGATTGCATCAGTCACAGTATCGATAATTTGATGAGTCATGCCTATGTAATGGATATCTAAACAATGGGGTATGGAGGGTACCCAACTCCTGGATACGCCAGAGTCTTGTGAAGCAATGCATCTATAAGGGCACAAAGCACTTCCTGATTTATGTGCATTACAATAAACACATGGTATTAGACAAGCACTTCCTGAGTTCTGTGTGTTGTTCAAGCAAATTATCAAACATGAGGAGGAGATGGTGTGATATATAGTCAGTCAGAGGTAAGAGGGGCCAGGGCGGTGTCCTAGACTGAGCCCTTACACTGTAGGGTCTGGGCTAACTCCACTCTCTTCGTGTTGGAATTGAGTTGAATTGATGGATGCCTGTTTGGCATGGAAGAATCCAAGAACTGGGTGGTTTGGAAAAAATTCCCCGTCAGGCTCCTGATCCAGCAACATCAGCAGAAAGTCTCAGTGAGGGAGATGAGAAGCTCATGACAGCAGTACACATCAAGGACATCAGGGGGGACCTGCAGGGAAACAAAGGTGACCAGGAGTGACTGCTTTTGTGAGCCCCACAGAAACCTGACCTTACAGCTACAAGAGTAGTCCACGTGGTTGCCGCAGTATGGACACAAAAATAATGTCTCCAGAACTGGCCATACTCTATCTGTGTATGGATGAGCAGAGTGTCTTACTTTTCTCATTGCTGAAACAAAATACTTGACAACCACAAGTTAAAGAAGGAAAGGTTTATTTTAGCTCAGCTTGTAGAGGTTTCAGTCCATAGTCAGCCATCTCCAAGGCAGGGTGGCATGGCAGAGGGGCATCACAGAGAAGAAACAGTACATAGCAGGGTAGGCAGGAAGCAAAAACAAAAGCAGCAGTGAGCCTCCCTTTCCCTTTTATCCTATCCGGGCTACTGAGCCTATTGGTTGGTGCCTTCCCATCATCCACTATGCTGAACCTATCAGGGGGCTGATATACTCACCACAAACCCTTAATCTACATTCACACACCCTAGATCCAGCCACCTCTGAACAGCTCCAGGTGCTTTAGAGGAACATGTAGATGAAAACTACAACACAGAGCTTTTAGGGGGTGTCTTAGTCACCTTTCTCTTGTGGCTGAGACAAAATACCCAACACCCAAAGTTAAAGGGGAAAAGGTTTATGTATCTTACAGGTCATAGATGTTCAGTCCATAATTGGCTGACTCCAAGGCAGTGCGGCCTGGCAAAGGAGAAATAGTTCATGGAGGCCAGAAGGTAACAAAGGCAACAAAGGGGCAGGGGAAGGGCTCTGAACAGTCTTTCTGCTCCTTTTATCTTATGCAGACTACTCAGGCCAGGTAGTACTCACACCCTTAATCCTAATACCCTTGAGCCTAGCATTGCACCATAAATCAATTTCAGAAAAAGCTGTACCTATGACTGCATGCGGCTTTGAGGGGACATGTAAAAGCAAGCCATAACAAGGGGCCCTCAAATTAGACCCTTGCCCATCTCCTCCTGAGGACAACCTCTGCCTTTTCATGTGTCTTTTATGGAATGAAATTCCATAAAATTTTCTTTGAAATTTTGCATGGTTATCCCTTGGTCTGGTGAATATCAGGTTAATAAATATCAAAGAATGACTATCATTTCAAATAAATACATTTGCATGAGGATTAAAACTTCCTGAAACAGAAGCACCCCCAGAACAAAAGTTAGCTGATTCTTTCAAGGACAAGGAAATAAAGTGGGAAAATTATAAATATGATGAGAAAATTGTTACGAGGAAACACACTAGAGTTTCTAGACAAAATTAAGTCAGTTGTATCTGGATTAAGCCACATAGCAATTGATACATAGAACAATTCAAGAACAGAAAATAAAATATAATTCTGCACTTTAAAAATTATTTGATAAAACAATTTAAGATGGTTTAAAGCAGATAGGAAAATGGTTTTAATAGATCTATTCTCAAGGTGTAAAATACTACTTTATAACTAACTAAGAAGTCAATAAATTTTCCCTACATGAAGGGCAAAGCCTTCATTAAATTGTTGCTTGCATTAGGGACTGTCCCAAGATATTGCTGCTTTCCCCCTAGACAAAATAATTTCTCGGTGGAAGACACTATGAATGTGAGGGCTGTAGGGTGTAAGATTTAAGACTAGGTTATCAACTTGGAATTCGTGCGGCCAACTTCAGGATTCACATGTGCAGCCCCGTCCCCACAGCGACAGTCACGGGGGCAAAGCCTTCGGAATTTGACTCAGCCATGAGGATGGAGGGTGACTGGGTTTAGTCCCTTATGAAAGAGACCAGAGGGCTCTTTCCCCTGCCAGCATGAAGACAGAGAGAAGGTGCCATCTGTGGCCCAGGAGGCCCGCCCTCACTGGACAGCACTTCTGGCCATGCCTTGGTCTTGGTCTTCCAGCCTCCAGAACTGTGAGAAAGGATCTCTTTTGTGTCTGAGCCCTGCAGATGTCCGTGTCACTTTGTTATAGCAACCAAAACAGACTGGGCCTGCCCGGGAAGACATAAGGGCCTGGGTTTGAAGTTTCCACGTAATCGTTTTATGAGGTTGAACAAATTATGTGAGCTCCTTTACCCTCAGTACGTTCATCGGTAAAGTAGAACCAGTAACAATGTTGTATTTGTAGGATTTCTGTAAGGAAGGACTCAGTGAGATAATTAATGTATAAAAGGTCACACAGTTCCTGGCACAGAGTTAATTCTAGCGAATGCTTCCTATTTTCAATTAATTAACTTATGTTATTCATTTCAGAAGCAGATGATCTGGCAAAGAAGTTTAAATAAGTCCCATGTAAAGCAGGAAGTTGCAAGAGCCACGAAATTTGTGCTGGGAGTTGGAGGGATGGAGTCTTGTTCCTGTCCATCTGTGTAAGGGAGGAGGAGCTCTGGAAACACTAGTGAATGACCACTGGCATTAGAGATAGCTTTGAATGATGGGCAGGTCTTGGAGGAGCAGGAAAATTATCGGCAACGCTCTGGGCCCGGTGTCATGTGTGGCCCAGAAGGAGGACTGCATTGGTGATGACAGACCCGGGTCATGGAGACGTGAAGCCCAGGCTGTAGATCTGCTACTCAAATGATAGGGCTGCTGGGACAACTTCACATAACCCTGACACCTTTCCTCCCTCATCACCATCTATGAATTGCTGCCTATTGTTGACTAGTGCCCTCAGAATGACTCCTTTATTAGTGAACTCAGGGCACATCAGTTTATTCTGCTCCTGTCCATAATAGCCTCGTAGCACAGCCTGGGAAATGAGCACCAGTGTTTCTACAGCATCCACTGAGCCCGCTGGGTGTGGGAGATGTAACCTCTCTGCCATCTCCAGCAAACCTGCTGGAAAGATTGAACCTGTCTTCCCCACAGAGTCACCACAGGCAATAAAACCACAATTCCCAGAAGAGTGGGACAAGTGGCTTACACGGAGAAAGGAAAGAAGGGCTGGATGGAATCCTCTCCAAGGTGCTGGGAATTTTGCACGTGCACATGTGATTTCTCAAGGTCTGTGCAGGCAGGGATGACATCTGGAAATAGGAAACAGCTGCTTGATGGGCTTTGTACAGGGAACACGAAGAAAGCAAAAATTAAATAGTTATGGAAAGGGTTCATTTTCCCTTCCAGAGCAGGACCTTAGAATTGGTCTGCACTTGCTTCATTTGAATGCACAAATTTTTATGTTTTAATATAGATACCCAGAGGAGTTAAAGACAATTCATAAATGTACTTTTTAAAGATTTGTGTGTAAGGTACAAATAAAAAGACTACGGTTATATCGAGTACCTTCAAAGCACAAAAGCATTGTCAGATTGCGATGTGTAGGGGAGCACTGACACCACCTCACGGAAGCAGTCACAGAGGTACGTTGTCGCTGCTTGTGTCCAGTGACCAGCCACACTGCAGTAAACCCATGGGGTGGTCCAGGGCCAGAGCAAGGAAAGCCCTGGAGGGGCCGCTGTGCCCAGAGTGCAGCTGGGCACAGATGGCTCTGGGTGACCAGGGAGTCTGAGCTCAGCCTTCCCGGAGGAGGCACCAGACCCCTGTCCTCCTGCACCCCGGGGCCAAGTCAGTCTCCCCTTGAGCCGCAGGTCCCCCCAGCTGCGTTGCCCAGGGAGTGAAGAGCAGCTCCTAACCTCAGAAGAGCCTCTGTTAAAGGAAAACAGAGATTTTCCTTTCAGAAGCTAAACAACTCGTGCCAGGAACAACGCTTCATTAGCGCGGTGATTTAGCCAAATGCAAAGACTGCCTCTGGCTGTGTGCTCACAAACCGCAAACCAAAAGAAGAGAAACTTCCGGAAGTCTGGGCCCTCCCCTGCCCTCTCAAGCTGGGTTTCCCTACAGAGTGGAGAACCCACCGTTACTCGATGGTTCAGGCAGAGGAGTCCATCCACCCCGTGTCCGGCCGTGCAAGCACCATCTGAACCACTCGCACGCGTGCTGCTCCAGGCCCGAAAGGTGCGCACGCGGGAGCTCCCTGGGAAGCCTGTGTCCGCATCCCTCGTATTGCTTCTCTCGCTTCGCTCCTACCCTCTGCCCCTCGGCACGGCGGCAGCACGTTTACACGCACGCACTGAGCGCCTCTGGTTCCCGGGTGTGTGCTTATTATATTTCATCCTCAGCTAACTAGGTATGTATCATTATTTCGATCAGCCAAGTAGGAGAGCCCTCTCAGAGTACTGCCAACACCTGCACTTGGTAAGTTTGGGAGCTGTTTGAAGGTAGTTATTTCTGACTCCATGCATGATGGGAGTGGAAAAAAATTAGGAGAGAACAGTTTAAGGTTTTTCCTAGGGAGCATCCAGTCTGCAGCCACCAAGTCATATTTCTCTGGTATTCTGGGGAGACAAAGGAGCCAGAGTGGATCCAAGAGGGGAGGGATTAGCAGATTCTGAGACAGAATTGGAAGATTTAGAGAATACACGCAATCACGACAGTCTGACTCAGACCTCACCGCCTTCTCGAAGCATGGAAATGCAGTTGTATAGAGGAAACACTGAAAGTTGGAGCAGAAGGGTTAGGTAAATCACTGCAGGGAATCGGACATATCCAGAAGGTTCCGAATAAATGAGAACCAAACAGGCACAGGGTCCAGAGAAGAAAGAAAGATAGCAGTGTACCAAGAGACAAGAAGAAGGAAAAATGAGAAAGCAAAAACAGACAAAAGAGAGGGGAAAAAAGTCACTGGAAAATTTGAGGATGCCAAAATGGGATTTTCAGAAACAATAAAGAAAATAGAAATAATGGAATTATCTAAAACTGATATTAAAAAAGCTTCCCAATCTGAATATTGTGGCTTTTCAAATTGAGATTCCTTTATGTTCAGCTGATTTAAAAGAAAAAAGCACTCAAAGTAAAGTACATCGTTGTGAAGTTTGAAAATGCAGAAATAAAAAGAAATAATGACAATCACAGGCTTCCACAGAAAATGAAAATACAAGACCACAAAAAAGTAGGAACCAAACTTCTCAATGACATCAAAAGAAGCAAAAAAGCAGCAAGGGAATTGTCAAGCACCCCAGTCTATACCCAGTCAGACCATCTGTCAAGAGTGAGAATGCAATTTCTAAAATGTTGACATGCAATTTTACCTCTTTTGCCCCTTTGCTTTAAGAACTCACTGGAGCTTTTTCTTCAGAAAATGAGGTTGTAAAACAAGAAGAAACACCTAAGAAATGAGCAAATGTATCCAACACAGAGCCAGAGGAGGAGGTGGGAAGCCAAGCAGGACCTCTCGGGCCTGGCCAGGGAGGAGCAGAGCATCCTTGGGAAGGTGTCCTCAGCAAGAGGGTGGGCCTTTCACTCCCTGTAAAACACCCCTAGGAAGCTTATCACTCTCATCATCCCAAATAATATCACTGATGTTCTCAACAGCCACATCAGATCAAGTTAAAATTCTAAGAGCTCACTGGGCCAACAAAACAAGAGTCCAGAAGCTGGGAGACCTCGGACCTGAACCTGGGCAGGAATTCTCAGTTTTACCACAGTTACAGCACCATTTCCAAAGGAAAGGAGGAAGTGTGTCCATCCACCTCTTTCCTGACTGGCTGGTTGCCACAACTCTTTTTTAAGACCAATCGAACGGTCCATGTGATTTGTCTATAGGCTTCAATTCATGGAGTCATGATGACCAGGACAAAAAGCTTACACTTGCTTCTGTTTATGTTTAGCTTAGAGCTTCCAAGAAATCATGATGACTTAAGTTTTGTTAGGTGGCTATGGGCAGTTGGCCTAGGGTTGTCTAAATTGAGGCCCCGGTTTTATTTTTTTAACAATGAGAGCATAAAAAGTATAGCAAATTGAAGCAAATGTTTTTTTCTCATGGAGTTTATTGGTACTTTTTGGTATACAGTACAGTTACATTCATTGGGATCTTGTACCTTTACATGACAGGTCTTGGTTCTCATTTTTTCCCCTTATGCCTGCCCTCCCTTCACCCTCTCCTCCCTTTCCTATTTACAAAGACTTTGTTTCCACTTTTTCCTTTTCTCAAATTTTTTCTTTTCCCTTATTTCCTTTCCCCGACCCTTCCCACCTTCCCTACACTTTTAGCCCTTTTCTTCCTATTTCACATTGTCAATTATACCATTTGGACCTTATTTACACTTTTAGTTTTTCACAACAGAAACAAACATTTAATGCAGGAAAAACAAATGAAGAGCAGGAGCTCTTTAACTTGTTTGACCACAAACATTAACAAAATAGTGCTTATATTTAATAATATAATGTAATCTTATGCATAGGAAGAGAAAAGTTCTGTGGATGTGGATGAGAATTAAATTTTCATCATAGAAACCAATCACTAAGCAACACTTCAATGGATATTTTTTCAGTAGAGAACAGTGCTAGGAATAAAGTTCCAATTGTCCAAAATCAAAACATTGGCACCTGTTATCCAGGAGGGGACAAGGTAGGTACAGTACAAATTATTGCTAGTTTTTGTTCTAAGACTTTAGTACTAGCAATGTTTGGACTATGGCAATGTACCAACCCAATAAATAGCAAGAATTGCCATATTAAGTCATGCAATGTTATGATGGCTCCTATTTTACATTATCAAAATACGTTTTTATTCCCAAAACCTTCCATCATGAAGAAAAGCTGTTTGTGTTGAAGGCAAATTTAATATATGTGATATGAACCCTGTGAGTTCACACAGCACCCTAAAACTGAGAGAATTTTGTCTTGTGGATCTGCATGTTTATGAAGCACATCTTGGGAGTTCTGAGAAATAATTGCTTGCAAGCTAACAAACAACCCAAGACACAAATTATTCCTGCTTTTAAATAGCATCAAATAACAACTGTATATTAAAGTCTTCGATGTAATGATGCAATTGTCTTTCCATGAACTTTCACAAGTGTTCAATAAATATTTATTGAGCATCTACTCATTTCCAGGCCCCCTGGTAAATACAGCCCAAGATAAAGTTTAAAATGAGCCTACCTTAGTAAGACAACAGAAGCTCGCATGGGCTTCCACATTCTCCACTGGGTCAAGGAACAGATTCTACACCCCCTGTACTGGAATTACCCTCAACTCCCCACCAAGCTGGCAAAAATGTCTAACAGAGAAGCCCACCAGGGAGTTCAGAGTGTGACTGCAGTAGGAGCAATGTTACTCCCAAATTCCTAATGGGACCTGACATGAAGTCTGTGGGTGAAATAGGACCCATGTCACGCTGTTAAATGGAAAACAAATGGGTCTCTGAAGCTGAAATAGAGAAGAGCAGTCCTCTTAACAACCACAGAATCACCAGTGCTTTGTTCTCTCTCAAACTGTTTGTAAGTAAGGACTAAGACCATTCCCTTTTCTTCCAGAGCTAGGGGAAAACAGCCACTTGAATGACTTCAAAGTTATTGTTGACACCGCTATAGTTAAGCTGTGCGGATCTGTGAAGAAATGAGATGAGGTTCCCTAAGCCACATGTAAAAATCGGTGGAATTGTGCTTTGGCTGTCGTCCTGCTTAAGGCTGTCTTTTCTGTATTTAAAAAAAAAAAAGGAGGAGGCAGAAAGCTAAAAGGACCCTTATAAAATAAAAATAAACTAAACAGGACTGTATCTAACATACTATTATCAGCGGTGTCCTTTTTGCACTTCAATATGAGGAGAACATAAAGGACAAAAACCACAATAAACTCACTTCGTTTCAATCAAGATAGTTCTGATTTGAACTGCTTTTATGCAACATGGGGACATAATGGTATGACAGTCTCAGTTTGCTTTACTATATTACTAAGAAAAGGAAAAATGGGTCGATGATGCTACATTCAACCAATCAAGCCTTAATCTTACATTCAATATCGACTTGACTTCAAACTTACACTGAGGAACGAGCAATTAAATCTTCCCCATATGCTAAGGGGGTTGAAGGAGAAACACAGAGCCACGCCCCAAGGGAATGGGCAATGACCAAGGACCATGAGGGCTGCTGACCTGATCCTCACGCACTTCCAGCCACAGGAAATAGGGTTGGTGTGGCTAGAAAAAGCCTTTTTTGTATCAGCTTAACAATCTGTTCACATTAAGAGACACTATTTCCAAGCTGGTAAGGACTCTGGGAATTTGCCTCAATTTATTTCCCTATTTTGCTACATTGTCACCTGAGCGCTTTGAGGTTTGGTTAAAATAAAGGCATAATAAAAATCAGTCATATAGAGCAATGCTGCAAATTATATGACAATACCTATACCAAGCAACTGGTGTACATCAGCAGATAGCACATATATTATCCTTATGATCACTTCATTGTAGCCAAAAAGTTATTCAAAATATGTTACTTTAAATCTACAAATCTATGTTAGTGTTTTATGCTTGTGAGCTGTGCATCTCTCTTACCAGCAGACTTGAAAAAGATTATTTGTTTACAAATATTACTCTATTTTGTTGTCCTTTTAAGGCATAGTTCATTGTCTTGATTGTGTTTCATTTTATGGGTCAAATCTACTATTATCCAATTTTCTAATTTATTAGATGTTGCTTTTCTATTTATTGATTACTTCTAAGTTTTTTATTATGTTGCTTTTCTTAAATTTTTTTTAGCTGAATGATGAATGCATAAAACATTTACAGGAATTACCATGGTATTAACAAATACCTTCCTCACATTTTTCAGAATAAAATGTTAAAAGAGATTTTGCCCTTTCCCTCCTCTTCCCTCTAATGCAGAGTTTATCACAACACAGGAAAACCCTCAACTTTAAACAGTCCTGGTCAGATGTCCCTACCCTCACTCTCACACACAATAAATTATTAGTGGACATGCTGCTGAAAGTAAGCACAATATTTTTTTCTTTTTTATTGAGTTTATTGGTACAATCCAGCACAATGCACAATTTTTTTTAAGGGAGTCATTGTCAACTCAGGACCACAGCTGGGTCCGTCAGTGGCTTTTTAAGTACGTGGCACCCACCTCTGACCAGGGAGACTGTGTTATCAGGAGCCTCCTCATTCCTGTTTATTTCTAAATCTGTAATACTACTATTGAGAAGTTCCCCTATGTGACAGGGAATGGTTAGAATTACTGAAGGTTCCCTGTGTCTGCAAATGTGTTGATGTCACTCACCTTTGCTAGTGGGTGGTCTACTTGGCTTGTTTCGGAGAGAGGTGTTCCAAGTCCCCAGTGCTGCTGTGATTTTAGTGTTCTGTGAGTCCTGCGTCGAAATGCAGTCTGATGCTATGGTATGCTGAAAATAGCAATTTTAGGACACATATTATCAGTGAATTTTTTCACATAAAAGTAAGTGTATAGAGTTAAATAGCAATAAATGTCTAATAAACTCTCCTTCTGCCTTAGTGGGTGACTTTAAACATTCTCTTACATTTACAAAATAGAGATTTGTCGTTTCACTGGGTCTTGCTTGACAACAAAAGAGGTAAATGAGGAACACTCTTGTTTAAACTTGGAACATTAGCAGAATATAATTGTAAGGCTTTACATCTCTGCTTCTGTCACATCACATAACAGACATGTAACTAGTTCAGACTTTCAGGAGGCACAGCCGTCACACGGCGCAGTCGGTGCCTTCCCATCACTTCTCTCACCCCCATCCCCACCGCTAAGCCCCTGATTTCCTGAGTTTAATGCCCAAATTTCTGGTTCTCATTCCTCTGTATGTTCCACAGACAGGTGTAAATATACAGAGTCCACCCAAAAATGCATGTACACCTCAGAAAAAGAAAACCTTGTATAAGTATTTTATTACTAAACTTATGCAGACAAGTCTTAAATCTATTTCAAATTGAGTTGGGTCAGGAATGAGGTTTTCAGTACAGCGTACCCAGCTGTTTAGGTAGAATTTGGGGGGATTCAGCTAAATCCCGCTCGCCAATTTGTATGACTCTGTGTCAACCTCATACTGTTAATTACAGAAATTTTACAAATGTTGTCATATGGAAAAGTAAGGCTCCTCGACTTTCTGTGCTAAATTTTCTCAGTTATTCTTACATTTTGCTCTTCCATTTTAAAACCTCCTGTTCAAGTTCCATTTTAAAAAAACTTGTCACAATTTTGAACAGCATTGTATTCAATTTAAAGAAGAACAGGAGGAGAAATTTCAAACATATTGCACAATCTCTTCATCATAATATACATCATCAGTAGATTAGTCTTCTGAGAATTTTTAATATTTTTGTAATTTTCCACATATGGCTATGATAATAATATGATGTGTTTTAACTTACATATTTTCTAAATGTGGCTAAAAAACTGAAATGCCATTTACTTTTGTAAATTTTTCTTATATCTAGCAACCTTGTTGGATGAGACAATTTAATATTTCTGTCTACAGTGAAAAATGAATACTGCAGATTTCTACCAGGAGGGGAAAGGAGGCTGGAAGTGTGAGTCATTTCTACTTTACTGATCTGACTGGCTTCTTGCATCTCTGCAAACACTCTCTCCTTGATCCTGGGTTATTCCGAAGTTCTAGGAACACTCACTGTGCTGCTTACCTTAGCTGGACTGTATAACCGAGGAGAACCGATGCAAGTAAGCGACATGCTGGCTTTTCACCCCATGTACAGGAACACTGCCTACACCGTTCTCACCGGAAAAGGTCTGAAAGACAGAAGCAGACTTCCTGAGGGAGGGCATCTTCACACTTTCTGTACCATCGCTGGTTTCCTCCCCGCTGCCTTCTACTTTGTGGTGTGGAGATGGGGAGGTAGTAGATCACTCAGTGACATTTTGTCCATTTACTGTTTTACACAACAAAATTAAGGAGAGGTAGAAATTTAGCTAATCATTATATAAAATGCATCTTCATCACAACAGAAAAGCAAAGATTCTTAAACAGGAAACAAAATGTGTTGACCAGAAAGGATAGATGGGATCATAGTGAAGTCAAGAATTGCTATCAAAAGACATGTTTAAAAAAATAAGCAGGAGATGGAGGAGATATTTACAATGTGTGTGTTTGTCAAAAATGTACATAAAGAGATCTTAAAAATCAATAAATGTGGGCAAACAACTCAATAGAAAAATGAGCAAAATATTTGAATTGGCTCCTCAGAAAACAAAATATACTCAATGAAGTAGGTCGTGTCATTAGTATCAGAAAATGCAAATTAAAACTATAATGCGCTGTCACTACATACCCACCAGAGAACTAAAATCATGGACGCAGCCAGGTGTTGTTAACTGTGCAGAGCAACTGGAAATCTACACGGTGATTGGTGACAGCATAATCTGGTAAATTCCTCGGTGGTGTAAACGAAAGCACATAGTGTGATACAGTAATTGCAACCTGAGAACAAAAATGTTTACATGTGTTCCCTAAAACAGGTACAAAACTCCTAGTAGGACTACCTATACCTTATTACTTAAAGCTGGAAACATTGTCCATCAACAACAGAACGAACGCACAAACTAGGCGACACCGTGACGAGGAAGATAGTCTGATGCCAACCAACGGCAGCCCCTGCTCCTCGCCCTGCAGTTATCTGCTTGGTGCACAAAGTTCACGAAGTCATCCTGGCACAATGTTCACGTGTGGTCTCGAGTTGTGCTCACACCAATGCAGCAAAGCAAGCAGCTCAGTGGCAGCTACAGGGTCCAAGAGGCCAAAGACACTCGAAGTCTCATGCTCTGTAAAGCAGCCAATCCCTGTTACACCAAAGTGTGAATTACAACTCAGACAATGTACGGATGGTTATTCTCCCCACACACTGATGAGCAAAAAGTCACGCATGGGCAGAGCTGTTTGACTGTGTAAGTTTTCAGTACAGGTGAGTTAGTCCATGGTATTGAGAGTCAGAGTAGGTGTACACCCTTAAGTGCAGGGGTGTGACCTGGGGGACCCTCGACGCCAGCAATCCCTTCCTTTCTTGACTCCCAACATTGGGTACACTACCATAGGCACTGTGTAACATGGTCAGACTGCACATAGAGTCTGTGTACTTTTCCACAGATATGTCATATGCTAGTTACAGTTATTTATTTTGATGACATTGAAACCAAATTTGCATAAATACTGCTGGGCTTTTGTTATGAAGTCACAAAATAGCATCCTAATCAAAGTTAGCAGGTAATCCTGGAAAAGAATAGCAGATTAGAACACAGAGACAGTTGCTGACCACCTTTCTATTTCTTTCCACAGCTAAAGAAAATAAGCCCAACAGGAGGTATTTGGTTTGTCTACACTAATTAACTATTTTTGTAAGAGGCTAAATTTGAGCCAACGTTCTGGCTCAACGGCCCGCCCACCCCTACCTCCCATCCAGCACAGGGGCAACCTATGAGTGTGAAGCTCTGTGACTTACCACTGCTCATCCTCATAAATCTGCCACTTACCATAAAGCAGCAGATATTACAAAGATTTGCTCCTTCAGGGTTTGTCATTTTTGAAAACATGAGAACATAGAATCAAACATACACAAGCTATAAGAGAACATGCTAATAACAAGTTAGAAAAAAAGCAGGACTTGAGGCAATTTTGGGGCTCACCAGCCAACGAGATGCTTTCTGGTCCTGATATCATGAATTAAAAAATCACTTACATTTTTCAATATTTAGCCACAACATTTATCAAGTTGCATAAAATATTGAAAATAATATAACAGGCACCACTTGGGTTGACTACGTGTTGGCTTTTTGATCTGTATGTTTCAGGTATTATTGGTGCTTTGGTAAAGAATTCGTAGAAGGGCCAGTCACCCACATGCCGTTCCTGCTCTCCCCTAGCTGCCGGGAAACAACCACTAAACTCAGGTCAATATGTATGCATGTTTTATGCATTTTCTTCAAATCCTGTGTGTACCTATGTCATTATATAATACTGTCTTATATATTTTAAATTATGTAAAGGTATGTTCTGAATGTATTTTTACAGTAGGATCATTTAAAATGCAAAACTCTAAATGACTTCCAGATGATTTTTCAAGTGTTCCTGGGACAAAAATTACTTGATTTTCATCCTACAAGTGTTTTGAGAGGGAAATTATAATTGCCCCTTCCTAGTCTGCCCGTCATATTTTATCTCTTCCTTTTAATTAATCACGTTGGTACATTAAAGGTACACAATATAATGACATTCTTTGTTGGAAATGTGCAGCCTTACATAATCAATCTTGGTTCTTATTCATATTTTATTTCTTAAGCTGCATATAGGTAAGTTCAATTGAGTACCTATGTTTATAATTAATTACATTCCAAAATAGAAATGGCAGCAGAGAATAGAATCCTGTTGCTATTGAAAGCACCAGAATGGGTTGGAGGTTTCTTGGTATTTCCTCGTGGTCTATGTGACCATTTCTTGCTTCACAAAATCTCAATAAAAAGAGAGAATTGTTTTCTATTTCCTGACTTCAGCAAGAAGGTCATTACTCTTTTATTGGGTAGCTTTGCAGTAAAGTGGATTTCATTCTTAGAGCTCTACCCTACCTGCCGCATTTTCGCTCTCTGGGCTCCACTGTGGTCCAGGGCCTCTCCGAGTTCTCTGACCGCCCTGCCCTCTTCATCCCCCTGTCACCAGAGGCCTGTGTGGCACTGTCCCTGAGCCTGTGCCCCCGGTGCTGACCAGAGCCTCCCAACCCAGCCAGCAGACCCCTCACCGAGGGGCTGCCCAGTCTGCTCGGTGACCTCTGCCTGTGCCAGCTGGGTTCCTCCAGAGAAAGAGGCCGCCCTCTCTCAGCACCCTCCACGCCCAGCTGCCTCCCACCCCCTGGTCACCTGCCTGAGGTCAGGACTCTGTTGCTATCCAAGCCCACGCCTGCCCGGTGCTGTCTCCACACAGAGCCTCTCCCGCCCCAGAACTCACCATGGCCCCGCTCCTCCCTGCACAGCTGAGAGGCTTGTGCTTGTCCACGCATGGGGCTGCGCCTTCTCTCCACCTCTGATCCGAAGCTCCGTAAGGCCAAGAGCCTTGCCAGGTTCATTCTGTGTGGACGTGCAAATCTCCCCTCGGGGTGGGTGTCCAGAGAACCGAGGCTGGATGTCCAACAGCCTGACTGACCAGAGAGCAGAGAGCAAGTAGCAGCTGCCAGCCCAGGTCAAAACGGCCACCCATACCGGGACACAGCAGAGGATCATGCAGACAGGAGCCAGTTGGCAACCCCTCCGTGCGCGGCTTAGTTTCCCAAGTCTCTGAAAAAGCCAACAGGCAGGCTCTGGGGCCTCAGGCGCTCGGGAGTTGTCATCAGGGCTGGATGCCGGCTGCCTGGGTGTCCAGGGACCCAGGAAGTGCACAGCAGGAGGGAGCTTTAACCCTGCACACAGCGGTCAGTTATGCTCTGGTTAAACAGAGAGGAGCAGAGAGAGAGGTGAGCACACAGCCATGTGAGGTGCACAGCCCTGCCATAGCCTGGGCACCATCCCATCCTCACTGACTACGTTCTGTCCCTCCATCTCTTTATCCTCAGGAAACCATGAGTTGGATCCTCTTCCTGTTTCCATGGTTAACTTATTTAGACCATTGGTAATCAAGAGTCTTTTCTTGGATAAATTATTTTATTCTTATATATTTTGCATTGCACAGAAACAAATTGGGAAACACTTTTGTATTTAATTTTTTTCTGGCTTTTTGATACTGGGACCTGTGTTCAGGTTTGCCTTGGACTTAGTTTGTAACCCAGGCTGGTCTTGAAATCACAGAGATCCTCCTGCTTCAGCCTCCCAAGTGCCGGGATATATTTAACTTATTTAAACCTATAAAGACTTGTGAGTGCATCCATAACCACACCTAAAGACATAGCATAATACTTTGATTTCCCTTTGGTATGTATTCCTCTTATTACTAAAGATTTTAAGAAACAGTCCTAAACATTTTTTTGCTTTCCTGTTGTTTCTAAAGTACTCTATTTTTAAAGAAAATAACAAAGTTAGGCGCAATTTTGACACCTTTTGAAATTTAAAAAATAGTGGCAGTATAGTTGTTAGCTATGAAATAAAGTTCACCCTGGAGGTGAAACACTTCCTGCCTGGTACCCTGGTACCCTCTGGTACCAGAGGGTGTAAAGCAAGTGCGTGGACCATGCAAAGCCCACCACAGGCAGACGAGGCACAGGGCCACTTGGGAAGCACTTGGCCCACTTTGGACCTCGAGTTGCTCCGATTGTCTAGGTATAAAGAGTGGGGGCCCACACTTCCAGGCACCAGATCTGATTGCAAAGTGATGTGAGCAGAAACAGAAAATGGTGACATTTAGGTCCAATAGACAAACAGAACCAAAAATTAACCCACACACCCGCGGGAGTTGGAACATGACAGACAATTCAGAAGAATTATTTTTCATAGTTGCAGGAAATTCACTATCTGGGTTAAACACAGTAGATCAGATGCAGCGGGAACCGTCTCGGTGAGCTCCACAGGTCTCACCCGCCGGTCTCCATGGGCGCTGGCTGAGCGCCCTCCCTCGGCCCTGTGCGTCTGCCCCTGCACCTGCCTGGGAGCTGAGTGACGGGGGAGCAGAAAGAACGCACCCGGCTCCAGGCCCAGCCCTGGGCACCCCACCTGGGCTCCATGACTCCCCCACCCTCAGGGGACTCGGCAGCCAACAGAGAGGCCGGGCTACGGCAGAGGAGCTGCAGCTCTGGGCCACGAAGCACAGCTTACATCGGGCACACTGGTCCGCGGCGGGAGGTCACTGCCTGGGAACCACAGCTGCTGGACTGTGCGTCGGCCAGCGCTGGCCCCTCTAACACACACTTTCACTCTCCACGTAAAGCACAACTCCAACTCCGCAAAGATCTTAGGGGTGAGAAGCCTCGAACGTCTCTAGAACGAATTACTTTTTTAAGCTATGATATTGAGAATAGAATGCTCGAGTAAGATGGTGAAGTGGAACAACCATAAAGAAAAAACTCAGCGATGTTAAAATTAAAAAGACGTTGACATTGTAAAGTATATTATAAGCATCATGATCGGATTCAAACAATCTGAAACAGAGAGAAGAGATTTACAAGAATTTTTGTTTTCTCGAAGCCTTTGTAGCTTCAACTAAACTGAAGACATGGTTAGGCAATGTGTGACTCTTTTCATTTGATATTCTCTGGGTTAAAAGGAACATGAGGTAAGGGGCTGAACACCGTGCCAGGCAGACAAAAGGAGCCCACTCCACACACAGGGTGAGAAACGGAGGCCCCAGCCTGGGCCGGGTACCCTCTTCCAGTTATCTTAAGAGGAGCGATTGCCGGCTGAGAGCGGAGTGAGGCTGGGACTTACGTCTGGGAATGCGCATCCGACCCTGCATGGCCGGGGCAGCGCAGGCCAGGGGCTGAGGCCTGGAGCCGGCTGGAGGGGGAGGTGTGGGCTCCACCCAGCCAGCAGCCCGGCCCAGCCAAGGTCACACTACAGCACATGGCCTCCGACTCCGCGGTCACCGTCTGCACCGGGGCGAGATGAACAGTCTCTGCGGGAAATCCGCCAGCAGGGATCACCACCAAGTGGGCGACGGGCACAGGAGGGGTCGCCCGTGCTCCGCAGGGGCTGGCAGAGCTGTGGCCGAGACCACCCGCTCATCTCAGGGCACCGATTTCCTGTGAACGAGTGCTTTAAAACCGACTGTGGCCGGCGACGTGCATAGCAACCCTGATCCCCCACCGGCTGCAAGGCCAACTGGCTCCTTGGTCCGGAACTGGACACCCAGGGAGAGGTCTCACTGTCCCACTCCTTTCTCGGGCTCATTCGAAGGCAGAAAGGCATCTAGATGCCGAAGATGTCCCTGCAGATAATCAACAGCAATCCTTGACCACGATTGCTGCTGCCCATAGAAGTAGGAGAAATGTCTGCTCTGCCTGCTGCTACCGTTCTCCGCCCTCCGGGGCTATTTTTCTGTGTTGATTATGCTGCTTCTGACCCTGGCCAGGATCCAGGCCTGGACGAGATGCCTGGCAAAGAGCTTCACAGCAGGTTTGGGGCCGCATGAGGTGCCTCTGCCTCGTCAGGCTGTGCAAATCGAGTCACTAGCGAGGGCCGATTCTTAAATAGACGGAGAAGAAACAAGAGCTTCTATTCAAGGCACAAGAAAGGAAACACAAATTCAGAAGAAGAAACCTGTTGGAAGTGACTGCAAACAGACCGGGTGAGGCCCCCAGTGAAGACAGGACAGGCGGAGAAGGAGGTCCCTCCAGAAGCAGCAGGACTCAGTCTCCCCTCACCCCGAAGTCTCCTGCTCACAGTACCTCTCGAGCACCCTGCCCGTGGGCTTGTTTCTGTTCGTGCCAGAGGTGGGGACAGGACTGCAGTCAAAAGATTTGACACAAGCTGGCGGGACTTCTCCTACAGGAAGCCTGGCACTGGCTGTCTGCTCAGGGACCACAGAGCAAAGCTGCCTCTGTCACTTCCTCAGCGGGGATGTCCCCACGCCCTGACCCCGGGGGTCCCAGCGACCGAGGCTCCAGGGAAGAGCACTGTCTTCCCCATGGCTGCAAGCAAGTGGAGCTCGCTGAAAGTGGAAGAGCAGGACACAGTCACTTCTCAGTGAAAGCGAAGAGCTCATCTGGGTCCAGGGATAAAGCTCAGTGGCACCATGCATGCCTGTCTTACAAGTACAAGGTCCTGAGTTCAATCCCTAGTACAAAAAAAAAAAAAAAAAAAACAGAGAGAGAAGAGCTGATCTGGAAATCAAGAGGTGGAAGAGGGAATAACACGGAGGCTGCCCTGTCTGTTTTGAGCTTTCTTTGCATAATTATAATAAATGACCATTTGTTTGGCAGGAAGCATTCGTTCCATTATCTTGCTTTGGTGAAGCCAAGAAAAGCATGTGTCTTCCCCAAGGCATAAATTCCATCCTTAAATGTTTTGTCTCTTTATCTTTATATTACTGAAGGCTGATCTAGCATTCTAGTAAGATGTAACCCTTTTCCATCTAAAATGTTCCGATGTATTCTCAGCACAGGTCTGACTGCACGTTCGACACCTCCGTCCCGTGTGAAGCTGGTACTGCACCGTGACCTGTTCAAGAAAGCTGCTGGGCTGTGCAGTAATTCGGCAATTTTAACAGACATATCATCCGGTCAACCCCCGATATCACAGGGGTGCTGCAACTGCTCCTGCACCTGACAGCTCTGACCTGTTCTGATTCTCGTGAAGGAAAGCTGGCCTCCAACAGGAGTGGCCTGGGTCCAGCCACATCTGCCCTTAGTTGTGTTGGTGACAGACATGGCGTCCCATGGCCAGGAGACTGGCTCTGCTACCCGGCAGGGCCTAGGGAGGACGCGCATCCCCTCCATTCAGAGGAGCCCATCCTGAACCTACCTCCTTATTTATTTTCCTATTTCCCACAGCTCTTTGAAGCCTATTTAAAATCTGCCTTCACAGCCAGTGGTTGGTTTTTAAGATTCTACAACAAGGATAGAAATGTATTATCTTTGATGTAAAAAGGCCCCAAAATGACACCAAGCTTCCACTACTAGGAGACTCCGGGCTGCATTTTTTATCTTGTTGCTAGAGCCCAGATGCATTTAGACTTTGGGAGACACCTGCTGGCCCAGGCCTCCCCTGGACAGGAAGGTGCAATGGCCTGCGAGCTGTGCCGGTGCAGACCACGGAGCTTCAGGAGGCTCGGCCCAGCTGGGACCTCTAGATGTTCTGAGACTGAAAATTTATGTATTTCTTTTGAAGCACAGATTGATTATGCAAGGTTTGTAAGAGGCAGAAGGAAAAAGAGTATATATTTGGTGTCTTTCTTTCTGGTAGAAAACTACAGTCTTTAGCAGCTCAGTATCATTATTTTTTTATCCTCTTTCCCACCCCTCCCTGTATCTCTTGGTCCCCTTCCCTTTTGCAAAAGCTCTGTCTCCCTGTTTCCTATCATCTATCTTGCATTTTGTTTTTTATTTATATTTTGGGCTTCTCATATAGGTGAAACTATATTGTATTGAAGCTTGTGAGTCTCATTTATCTCACTTAAAGTTATGGTCTCGAGGTGCATCCAATTTCCTACAAATGCCTCAAATTTACCCTTCTTCATGACAGAGGAGATCCACGGTGTGTAAATACCACAATCTCTTCATCCATTCCTCTGTTGATTGACATAGAATAGACCTTGAGAGGCACAGGAGCAGCAGGCAAAGAGGGGATGGAAACGACAGCTCCAAACACAGAAGGACAGAACACACGGGACACACAGAGAAAGCAGAGTATTTGTAAGAAGGGCCCTGGAGGACATGAGTGAAAATGGAGTTAAAAAGCCAGAGGGGCTGAGTGCTGAGCCTGAGACAGGGAGAGATTATTATATGTTGTGATTATGGATTCGAAGCAAAAATAAACATAATAAATTGACTCTGCAGAA